ATCTAAAGACTAAAAAAAAAAAAAAAAAAAAAAAGCAAAATGACCCTCATCTGAAATGCTTAGTAGCAACACTCTTATTCCCAGATTCTGCAGTCCTGTGGCCTTTTTTTTAGGAATCCTTTCCAGGTTCTTGGCATCCTGGGACCTTGGGAAAAGACTTGGACAAACATGAAAAAACAAACAAACAAACAAAAAAACCCAAAAGGTAGCAAGGGTTTATATTGATTAAAGGTAGGAAAAGCAGTAAGCAGTATATTCTGTAGGGTGAGAGCGGGCTACTAACAGTGGCCAGGTTTGTGATGTGGGTCTTTTTTTTTTTTTTGTACCAGGGATCAAACTGGGGCCCTTGCACTTGTGAGGCAGCCAGCAGAACCACTGGGCCAAATCCCAGCCCTGTGATGTGGGTCTTTTGTATCCCTCTTCTTTCACCCGAGGTCACATGTAGGCTGCCCTCTCAAAAACCTGCCTGATTTTATGTGGGAAGAGTTGAAGATGGCACTGACTGGTCCAGGGGCAGGGCTGGGAACTGATTTGCCCTGCCCTAATCTCCCACCTCAGTGTTTTATACTTTGGATTTTTAATATTTACATGTACATAATAAGCTATATCGTGGATAGCACCCAAGTCTAATCACGAAATTTATTTATATGCCTTGCCTGAAGGTAACTTAGTGTGAGAGTTTAGTGCGCCTGCACTTGCAGCATGGTCCCCTCTATCACGTAAGGTTCAGTGAGGTCCTGTATCGGGGCCCACAAAGTTGCAGATTTTACAGCACCTCAACTTTCAGATTTGGAATACTCAGCCTGTATTTTCACACTGAGTACATGACAGCATAAAGAAAAGACCCCAGTTTTATTTATCAACATATGAAAATAGATCAGTAGCCAGGCATGATGGTGTGTGACGGTAACCTCAGCACGCTGAGAAGCTGAGGCCAAGGATGCAAGGTGGAGCCTGGCCTGGGTATCTGAGCCAGACCCGGGCTCAAAATTCAAAAAATTTTCACAGCACTAGGGGTGTGGCTCAGTGCAAAGGCCCTGGTTTCAATCCTCAATACCACAAAAGAAAAAGGGAGGAAGGAAGGAAGGAAGGAAGGAAGAAGCTGACAAGTGTTCTCCCCACCTCATTCTATAAAATGTGAAATAAATACAAGATAAACTCTAAGCATATTAATATCAGTATGGTACACTTCTCCTCACCACCACCAAAGTGATCTCTCGGGCCCAAATTGATCTCCCTCCCTGGTAGCACGTTGTATAGAACTCTGGCAGACTATTTATCACAGCCTGGTTTCTATTAAATTGTGTGTTTGTCCATGAAACTGCCTTCTTATATAGCCTGAGATCTTTTGAAATAGAGGGCTCACTTGCTCATTTGAACAATCCATCAATCCTCAGCATTCTTCTTGCAATGGAAATCCTTCAATAAATGTTTGAAGATTTAAATATTGTGTATACTGATGTGCTTTCTTTAAACATTCATGTTTCTATAAAATAAAGCTAAAGCTAATATTGAGGCATTCTATACTCATAAAAGGAAAGATGTAGCATCAGACAGATATTAACTTCCCCTAAATCAGTCCAGAATAAAGGGATTGTCTTAGCCCGGAATGGTGTCACATACCTGTAATTCCAATTCCAGCTACTTGAGAGGCTGAGGCAGGGGGATCACAAGTTTGAGGCCAGCCTGGGCAACTTCATGAGACATTTTTAAACTCTAAAACAAAAAGAGGGCTGGGGATGTGGTTCAGTGGTAGAGTGCTTACCTAGCATTTGCAAGTGCCTGGATCCAATCCCTAGTAACACACACACACACACACACACACACACACACACACACATATTGTCAAATCCAATGGGAAAAAAGAAAAGCTGTTGGGAGAGTACGGTGAGCAGTGAGCGGGGCAGGCATGGTTTGCCCTCCTTATCCATAGCTAGACATTTTATCAGCAATAGTAATTCAGGTCACACAACAATGAATAGGGATGCAGACCCCAGGGGAGAAAGTTCAGAAGTAACCCTCACGCACACACAAAGCACCGTCTACTCGAGGCGGAGGCAGCGTTACAGCCAATGGGAAGCGGAAAGAATTGGTAATTCACTTGGAAGAAAAGTAAAACTACAGCATGTTTCTAAATACCAAACCAAAATGAAAACCCAGGTGCAATTCTTTCAGCTCTGGAAATCACATGCCATATTTTCTATTACTGGGACTCCATCGAGAATCCCAAACCAAGTATGTAACACACAAATCAGATCTGGATAGCCAGGGCTGCTATCCAATTTACAGGCAGGAATGAATCAGCTTAAATCAAAAGGAACAGAAATAATGGGTCTGAGTGCTTACCCGGTGGGTGCCTGTACAGCAGTGTACGTAGGTAAGCCAGGGTTTGTCTTTAGTGTGGTGAATCGAGCAGAAGTCTCTTGTGGCTTTAGACAGGTCAAACTCTCACAGCTGAGGCAGAGGCCACCAACTATGGTACATGAAGGGCCTCAATGACCGTGCAAGGTCTTCTTTCAAGCAAAGTGTGCGAGGAGGAAACCCTGACCCCTAAACGAGAACTGAGTGAGTGCAGGCCACAGCCCCTTCCCACACACTCGCACCGAGGAGCCCGGCTGGGTTTTGGTTCCACTCCCCTGGCCTAGGCTCTTCACCCACCGCATAGCCCCGTCCACTTCCGATCAGGACATTCAGCGTGCACGTGGGGATGGCTCTGCAGTGGCTGCCACACTACTGAAGCCTGAGCTTTTGGTAATAAACACCGCTTCCTCATCAGAAAAGGGTTTCAGGGTCAGGGATTTGGCTCAGAGGAGTTGTGCCTGCCTTGCAAGCACAAAGTCCTGAGTTCCATCCCTGGGAAAGAAAAAGGAAGGAAGGAGGGAGGGAGGGGAGGCGGAAAGAAGAGGGGGGAGAGAAAGAAAAAAGGCAAGAAGGAAGGGAAAGGAAAGGAGGGAGCAAGGGAGGGAGGAAGGAAGGAAGGAAGGAAAGAAAGAAAGAAAGAAAGAAAGAAAGAAAGAAAGAAAGAAAGAAAGAAAGAAAGATTCCAAACATGTTACACACCGCGTGTCC